GATCTTGTACATAGTTGACCATTGAACTCAGCGTCCATGAGAAACCTATTACAGAAGTTTTCACATTTTTTCTTTAAATTTTGAAACAGCAGTTATTTCCACTGTGACGCCATATGCTTGACATTTCTACGTAATCCTACAGTAACGAAGAACACTCGGTGCTTCGCTCTATATTCTGGATCTAAGTTGAAGCGATCTCTAGGAAACGGTACCTAAATCTCAAAAGCTTTTCGTATGAGGTAGTTATTGCCAAACGTTCGATACATTTTTTCTGGGGCACCCTGTTCAACCATTGATGAAAGCAAACGAATTACTTTGAACTGCGATTTCTCTTAATTTTTTTTAGCTCACCACTACGACATCAGGCCGGCTACCGTATACCGGTTACGAGCAACAGCATTGATCAACCAAGTTGAAAGTTCACCGTCAAAGCTTGTGCTAGTGAATACCAGAGAAGCTGGTAAGCGTTTTTATATACTATACAGGATCTAGACAATTTATACCGTTGAAGCGGCAAAATCACCTGTGATACAATCGGTGAAGGTATTGGCAAATGGAAGTGCCATTGTTCAGTTTATTCCAGCCGAGGATGCCGATGTTTTTACGGTAGTTTCGATCTGTACTGTAACTTTGAGTCATCATCTAACTTGTGGTTTACAGAATTATACAGTCGAGTATCGCGATGTCTCGAGTTTCGATCCCTCTTGGATAAGCCTCGAGTTTGAGTCGGACTCCTCGAGAGAAGTGCTTCTGTCTGGACTTCTGCCGAACAGAACCTACGAGACTCGTCTGTTTGTGAACGGCAACGTTATTCACGGTCTTTGCTCCAGACATGTTTTCTTCTCCACGAATAGCACTGGTAATATTTGAAATGAAATCCCGGGATTCCCAAAAATTTTTTTTGCTGAAACGGTGTGTGCATCGTTTTTTAGCTCAGCCGCCTGAAGTTTCGATAGATCCACAGGAAGAAATCGTGTTGGATCCAGATGTATCTGAACCATTTGAAGTGAAATGCGATGTCGTGTCGAATGCTCCCACAACCGTTGAGTGGCTTGTAAATGGTAAGATTCGGAGTTAAAATTGTAGACTTCGGGGTTTTTTTCATGAAGTCTCCATGAGTTGAATTAATCT